GATGACAAGAAGAGCACCTACATGTGCCAATCCGAAGGCTACACTGTCACCTTCTGCCCCAAGTAAATCATATAGACATACAACCTTATTGTAATTAGAAGCTATAGAGTATACCGATAATACAATCACATCTGAGCTGGTTCTCAGTCATCCCATAATTCTACGTGCTGCTTATACATGGATGGGAATGTTTACGTAATATGGTTGACGATCATAGACATGGTTTATATACGCTTTTGGGTAATATCATCACGCTCTCTTGATATACATCCTGGTATAGTAAAAAGAAAAAGGACCTTTTTGAGATTCATGCCTCCGAGTTTAATCCGCTTTTGCCATTACAATTACCTCCTTTTGGAATGAGTACAAGGTTTATTACCCGATCACGATGAGAACATGATGATCAAGCATCATTTATCTCTCAAAAGTGGGTTCATGAGGGAGAAAGTTTTCGCATCCAGTGCATGTACCACAGCATGAAGAATGTAATTTCTCACAAGTGAACAGCCGCACAGCTTCTAGTATAATGACTACCACGAGCAATGGGTTTGACTTTTTTATCCGCCATACCAATGGCGATGGAAACGAGCTATATCTAATAGGCTATGTCATGTCTTGGTGCAGTAGTCATTAGCTGTGCATACATCTCGCTGTTGCAAGATTCGGGAAATTTCCCTGTGAAAACAGCTACAGCTAACCACTTTTAATCAATTTGACGTGTGAAAATGTAGAAAGGACATGGCTTTAGTGCACTTAAATCTATCGCTCACAAGGTGAGGAGCACTGTGGTACGTCTGACTAGCACATAGTAGAGGTGTATATAAACGTGGTTTGTGTTTGAGAAGGGTGCTCGTGAATTACGATATGCGGTTAATGGGTGTTCCTTATACCATTGTACATGCTATTGCTTGTGCAGGTCTTGTAGCTTCTACAGCTTTTGCGACCATTGATACCGACCAAACATATAGGATCGTGGTTGATGGAGGACGAAGCTACTGTGATAATTACTTGAGCGCTATAAGGTAAAGTGAACCAAGCAAGATGCATTCACTCAGATGCTTATTATAGTGGAATGTAGTTGCGAGTAAGATCCATTTATTTGATTAAACGTACGCCATTGATGAGAAGCTATCTATGCTAATCCAAACCTACAGTGCTGGTCCTAATGGTCTTGTGACAAGCACTTGGTCAGACATTTGGGAAAAGGATACCGAACACTGGAAATTCGAGCCCGTTCCTCATGCCGACAACGACACCTACTATATCCGTGCACTGGGAAGAAGCGGTTGTGATGCCTTGTTATCCGCCAGCAGATCTTGTGAAAAAGGATGGAATAGACTCACCGTGGCATCTGAAGACGATTCAAGTGGATTGCAACAATGGATTGTGAGCGTTGTCGACGACAGCAAGAACGATCTCTACAAGACCTACCACATTCGAAACAAAGGTCGATCGGATTGCGATAACTTCCTTGCCCTGCCACCATGGTAAGTACTGCAAACAGCATACTTGATGTGAACCTGATGAGCGTGTGTCTATCATGAAGCAACGGCAACGACCAAACGGTGCGTATGGATTATGAGGACGATGGCACAGGGCGTCAACGATGGATGCTGCAACCTATTGGACAATCGGTCGCCAAACTTCCTTGTAAGTGACCAGCAGCAACTACTCTATTGGTATTCATGAATGGTGTTACATGTAGTGAAGCCATTTGTCAATAAGCCATTACCTGTTGGAGACGTAAAGCCAAGTGGATGGATGCTTGATCAAATGAGAATTGAGGTGAGGAACAAATATGCATGACACGATCGATTGATACACTTTTTTAACTTTCATGCAACCTTATTTTAGGCTGATGGATTAGCTGGTTCTTTGTATGACTTCTTTCCCAATGTCAACGAGAGCCCATGGCTTGGAGGAACAAGCGACTACTCGGATTTGATTGAATCAGCGCCTTACTGGGTCAATGGCCTGCTTCCCCTTGCATATCAACTACAAGATGATCGATTAATCGACCAAGTGGAGACATTTATGGATTATGTCATTGAGCATCAAGACGACAATGGATGGATGGGACCTTCTAATTCAACCCTATTCTGGCCACGTGTGCTGATCTTGCATAGCCTTGCGGTAAGGATCCTCAACTCTGCCAAGCTTCTTGCCTTTATATACTAACATTTTCAATTGAATGTAGCAATATGCTGAAGGAAATCCCAAAGCGACTGATAAGGCTGTCAGTGCCATGCACAAGCTTCTTGGACGAATTCATGAGATGCTTCAGGATGGTAAAGGCGAAGGATGGGAGAGCTTCAATCGTATGCGATGGTTTGAAATGGGTGTTCCAATCATGTGGCTCATGGATAACTTCCCGAGAGAAAAGGTAACTCGTTGCGCTAAGGTCTCAGGGACATTATGGCTAACTCATGCATGATATCACCATACAGGAAGAAACTCTTGCCAGTATACTGAAATCATTGAGAGACCAAGGCGACGACTTGAGGAACTTTTTCAGGGACAACCAATTTCCCAAGGAAGCCACTGATAGCTACACCACACAGCTGACACATGGCGTGAATAATGGCATGGGTAGGTTTGGCTTATTGAGTTCACTCTTGACACCGAGTACTGAAACATGGTTTTCACTATCAGCCCTCAAGGCACACACCATTGCTTATCGATTCAGCCATGATGACACGGATCTAGATTGGGCCAGGCACCAAATCAAAAACATCAACAAGTATCATGGTCGAGCAAATGGTCTTTTTGCTGCTGACGAGCATTTTGCTGGCTTGCATCCGAGCCGTGGCACTGAGCTATGCACAGTTGTGGAAATGGCATATTCATATGCATACAATTACATGGTGACGGGTGATGGATCAATGGCTGACTTTGTCGAGCAAATCATCTACAATGGTTTGCCTGCCGAGACAACCGAAGGTAAGGAAAATGGCTAAACGCTTTGTCGGCATACAATTAAACATCATCATCTTGTAGATATGTGGGCACATCAATACCTGCAACAGTTTAATCAGATCATTGCCAAGCAACAAGATCCCTTTATTTGGACACATGACATGGATGACAGCACAATGTTTGGTTTGGAGCCAAATTATGTAAGTAATCAAACAACAATGTCATTGATTTGGAATGGCACGCAGCCACTAACAAGTGTGATATGATGTAGCCATGCTGCACAGTCAATTATCCACAAGGTTTTCCAAAATTCGTCACCAACATGTTCATGACAACAGACAATGATTCAACTCTTCTTGTTGCACTTTTGGGTCCAGGCTCTGTATCAACACAATTGGGAGGTGGTAATCATGTACAAGTGACGGCCAAGACAATGTACCCTTTTTCTTCCGAGATTACCTACGCTATTAAAGCCGATGATGCTTTTCATTTTGGATTTCGAGTCCCTGGCTATTCCACTGGCAGTGTTTCATACAACATCAACAATGATTCGTCAAAGTCAATCAAGCCCAATAAGAATGGCATTGTCAAGGTTGCAGTGGATTCCGGTGATACGACAATTACCGTACATCTTCCTATGAAGACCAAGGTTGTTGAACGACCCAATGGTGCTGTTGCCATCCAACATGGTCCTCTTACTTATGCATTGCCGATCAATTACACATCCGATATCATTCACAAATATTACGTAAGTGTATCAGCAAGGTTGTCACCTACATACTCACAATGACAACAACAACAATATAGAAAGGTGCTGTGGATTATGCTTTTACCAATTCTTCTCGATGGGAGTACGCTATTGATCCAACATCTGTCAAGCACCATGGTGATGCAACATCCGTATCCTCGGTTCCTTTTGCTACCGCCCATCCTCCTGTTACTATGTCGGCTTCGGTGTGTTTGGTTGACTGGCAAATGGACAAGAACAGTGCAGGTATCCCTCCCAAACAGCCCAATTGCATCGATGAACCCCACACTGTCACCCTTGTTCCATTTGGATCCACTCGTATGCGTATTGCCGAATTCCCTGTCATGGCCAAATAAGTTCATCAACATGTCCTATGTGCTACGATTCTGTATCAATATACATGTTATATATCCGACGACCCATCAGCTATTCCTGAATGATACAAATACATGATGAGAATTGTACCCATGTTCAATAGCAGCAAAGCTTATATTAAAAGATGCAAACATGTAATAGTAATCCAAATATAAATGTTGTAAAAAAGTACTGAGAACCAGCTCAGATGTGATTGTATTATCGGTATACTCTATAGCTTCTAATTACAATAATGGTGTATGTCTATATGATTTACTTGGGGCAGAAAGTAACAGTGTAGCCTTCGGATTGGCACATGTAGGTGCTCTTCTTGTCATC